CTCCCAGCCCCACCCTGCCCCTGGGCTCCGCCCCTCCGTGCTCCCGGCCCCGCCCAGCGTCCGGCTCCGCCTCCCCATGCTCCCAGCCCCACCCTACCCCTGGGCCCCGCCCCTCCATGCTCCCGGCCCCGCCCAGCGTCCGGCTCCGCCCCTCCATGCTCCTGGGCCCCGCCTCTCCATGCTCCCAGCCCCACCCTGCCCCTGGGCTCCGCCCCTCCATGCTCCCGGGCTCCGCCCCGCCCTGCTCCTGGGCCCCGCCTCTCCATGCTCCCGGGTCCCGCCCAGCTCCCGGCCCCGCCCCTCCATGCTCCTTGGCCCCACCCTGCTCCTGGGCCCCGCCTCTCCATGCTCCCAGGCCCCGCCCAGCTCCCGGCTCCGCCCTCCGCGCGGCCGCTCCCTCCCGGGCCGTGCCTGGGCCGCGTCGGTCCCGCCCTCCTCCGCACTTCATGGCCCCCGCTGGCCGTGGCCGGTCCCCCCTCCCCAGGCCCGGCCTGGCAGCCCCGCCCCCGCCGGCGGCTGTGACGTGGGCACCCGACACGAGGTGGCGGCCGCGAGCCGGAGCAGGCGCCAGCTCCGCGGAGGAGGCTGGACGGAGCAGCCGCGGCGGCCTCCGTGCTGAGGACGGCAGCACACGGCGGCGATCCCGGCATCCCACAAAGGTAGAACAGCCCCCGCCCACCCCGCCGTCACCAGGCCGCAGAGCTGCTGCACGCGGAGGGCATCTGAGGACGGTGCCGTGCGCAGTGAACAGCGCACAGATCACGGCCAGGCCGGGCGCCGGTGGCTCGCGCCTGTCACCCCAGCTACTCGGGACGCTGAGATCTGAGGATCGTGGTTTGAAGCCAGGCTGGACAAGAAGGGCCGTGAGACGGTCATCTCCAGTGAACCACCAGAAAACCACAAGTGGAGCTGGGCTCAGAGTGGTGCAGTGTTAGACCTGGGACAGCGCCCAGACCCCGAGTTCCCGCCCCATGACTAACAAAAAGAAAAACACTCTCAGAACCTCCCCAGGGTCATCATATCCAGAGAGACAGGAAGTGGTAGATGAGAGGGCGGAGGGTTTGCCGGGGTTTGGGGATGGAGAGGAGAGCCAGTATTGAATGGGACAGAGTTTTAATGCAGGATATAGAAGGTTCTGGAAATGGAAGGGTTGCTATGGATTCTTTTTGACAGTCCTGGGGCTTGAACTCAGGGCCTAGGTGTGCACTGCCCCTGAGCTTCTTCAAGGCACTCTACCACTTGAGCCACAGTGCCATTTCTAGCCTTTTTTTGTTTATGTGGCACTGATTGAGAAATTGAACCCAGGACGTCATGCATGCTAGGCAAGCACTCTACCACTAAGCCACATTCCCAGCCCCTTGCTATGGAGTTGATATGTCAAATTCAGGCTGAAATTCTAACCCCCAGATGAGGTAATTAGATGCATGGGTGCCATAAAGATGGTATGGGGTAGAAATCGGAGCTATGTGGCCACAAGCCAAGGGATGCTGGGGCTGGGGGCTATAGGAAGAGGCCTTCTGTGGTGCGTGTGTATGTACGCGTGTGGTATGTGTGTGTACACGTGTGTGCATGCCAGTATTGGAGTTTGAACTCAGGGCCTGGGTGCTGTCCCTTAGTTTTGTCACTCAAAGCGGGTGCTCTGCTTGAGCCACAGCTCCATTTCTCCGCTTCTGGCTTTTTTTGCTGGTTCATTGGAAAGAAGAGTCTCATGGGGCTTTCCTGCCCAGGCTGGCTTCAAACTTTGATCCTCAGAGCTCAGCCTCCTGAGTGGCTGGGATGACAGCTGTGTGTCTCTGGCTCTCCTGGAGTCTCTGGGGGGAGCCGGGCACTACACAGAGCTGAGAGTTGGAGGCGCGGGCTTGTCTGTGTCTTAGGAGTCACAGGGCCTCAGGTTGAGATGTGGAAATTGTGGCATCGTCTTCCCTTCCCCGCTGGACACATGGCTGGGCTCACAATCTACCCGGTGTGTCCCTGGTTTCCAGTCTTCTGTTCCCCCCAGGTGGCACATTTGCTGGGAAATGCCCACTTGCTGGCTCTGCCTGGGGGGCCCCCAGGAGATTCCAAAAGTCCCTTTTCTCCTGAACCTCAGTTTCCCCCTTGGTAGATTGCACACAATCCTGTAGATCAGATGGCCAAACAGGAAAAAGCTCTGGGAAGTCTCAATGTAGACCAAGAAGGAAGGAGTGAGCTTCAGGTGGATATGGAAAGATCTAGAACCAAGAGCCCCAGTCTGGGAAGAGTGGGGGCAAGAGGTGGGTGGGGAGGGGAACGGCAAGGAGGACCAGGGCTGGGTGGTAGAATCGGGGTGCTGTGTGCTCAGCGGCTTCGGGTCCAGTTACCCCCACCTGCCAGGACGAAAGACGTGCGGATGGCAAGACACATGACCGCCAAGATGCACAGATGGTGAGGACAGAGAGATTTATCTCCTGCCCTCTTCCCCCCCCACCCCCCGCAAGCTCACAGCCCAAGAAAGAGGACACCATGTCTCACAGCCACCCCACTCCCAGGCAGCTCATGGGGGGCGGGCTCTGGCCCTCAGGGATTAACTCTGGCCTTTCAGGGAGCAGCTTCCTGCCCAGTGACATGGTGGGGTAACCCTAGATATGAGGCTTTTTCATTAGGATGTCTCCTCCCGGGAGATGGGGAAGGATTCAAGACAGAGGCAGCTGGGCTCAGTGACTCACCCCTATAATCCCAGCCACTCAGGAGGCTGAGATGTGAGGATCTCCACTCAAAGCCAGCCCAGCAGGGAAGTCTGTGAGAATCTTTGGTGTGTGAGTGTGTGTGTGTGTGTGTGTGAGAGAGAGAGAAAGAGAGAGTGGGGCTGAACTCTGGGCCTGGGTGCTCTCCTTGAGCTCTTCCGTTCAAAGCGAGCTCTCCACCACTTTGAGCCATAGCTCCACTTCCGGTTTTCTGGTGGTTTATTGGAGGTAAGAGTCTTACAGACTTTCCTTCCCGGGTTGGCTTTGAACCACGATCCTCAGATCTCAGCCTCCCAAGTAGCTAGGATGACAGGCAAGAGCCACCGGCGCCCGGCCGATGTGATTCTTATCTCCAATTAACTACTCAGAAAAAGCCAGAAGTGGTGCTGTGGCTTAAGTGGTAGAGCGCTAGCCTTGAGCACAAAGTGGCTCAGAGACAGTTCCCAGGCCGAGTTCAAGCCCCACAACCAACAAAAAGAAAAGAAAAAGAGAGGCAGACCATAGTATCCAACCTTAATACCTTCAGGTGGATCAGCCACAGCTGATCTACAAATGAAGTCCCACTCAAATGACGATAACTCCTACCTTCCAGCGTGGAGGTCAGGCATTGGGGCCGAGTCCATACCCACCTATCTAGAATCAGTTCCCTCACATACCTGTCATCTTGTTACATAATTTTTTTGCGGGGTGAGGGTTCAGATGTAGCAAAGGGCTCAAAGTCCCAGGAGGCCAAATCTGTGGCACCCCCAACCCCCTGTAGGTCAGAGGGCCCTGAGTGTCGCCCTCCCTCCCTCCCTCCCGGAACAGGTGCAGGGGACAGGGCCAGGTCTGGCCATCCGCACAGCTGCCCAGCTCCTGCCCATACTTGGGCAGGGACGGAGTCGATGCTATGAATAACCCAGGCATGTTGCGCAGGGTGCCCAGTGGCCCTGCTATAAAGCCAGGCCTGCCGGTCCCGAGCGGTTCCTTCAGCCCCTGAGAACTTTAATCCCCCTGTTGTGAGACAAAGAAAAGTAAGTACTCAAACCATTCTTCCCCGCTCCCCGCTCGGCCCCCTGCCCACGCCACGCACAACGCCAACCCGGCCCGGCCCGGCTGAAGTCAGACACGGAACAGTGGTGAAATGACCTGCCCTCAGTCCCCAAGGGACCAGTGAAACACAGATTCTTGGTGGCACTTGATTGTCCCCCACCTATTTGGTGGCCTCTAAGATAGCCCAGGCCTGTCCTGGCCTGAGGGTTGGTGGGGAAGATGGCTGGAGGGGAGGAGGAGGAGGAAGTAAGGGTGGTCAAAATATCTGGAGTCCAGGCTCTCCCTCCAGTCCTTGGGGACAGAGCTGGGGACCCCCTGTGCCAGGCCAGGAGACCCCAAAATTGCATGAGTACATTGCTGGGGGACTGAGGTGAAATCTCTGTCCCTACTCCGTCCCAGACCTTCTCCTGTCCCCCCCCCAAGGCTTTATATTTTGAAGAGGAGCCCCTCCTGACTCCCCGTGCCCCCAATCTCAGAAGGCAGAGCACCCTCGCCTTTCGTCATCCCAGTTTTTTCCCAGACTTCAGCACAGGAGAAGCTACTTGGAGACTCTGAGAATTAAGGTTGCTTCTGGGGAGCCCTCAGCGCCCCCCAAAAAAGAGTTCTGGGTAGAATCCGGGAGTCCTCACCCCCCTCAGGAGTGCTGGGTGGATTTGGGGAGTGCCGGAAGGGTTTGGAGGGGCCCTGGTGGGCCGTGTGGGGGTGTCTGAGAGTGTTCGCTTCTGGTTCTTTCCTCCAGCTCCTCCCCCTGGCCCTGGCTGACCCCCCACCCTAGACATCCATGAGAACCCCCTCCTTTCGGGGCCCAGTGGCTGGAAGGGTAATGGGGTGACCTGTGTGGTGGGGGTGTGGTAACTGCTGATTAAGAGGTGGCTGAGTGCTACTTGACATGGTGACAGATACCGGGTTCACGGGCCTCGTCACCTCTTTGCTGCCGGGGACCTGCTGGGGTTTTGCCTTTCTCTGTTTCTGGCTCTTAGGATTTTGTGGGAAGGGTAGAATTGTGTGTGTGTGCGTGTGTGTGTGCCGGTCCTGGGCGTGAACTCAGGCCCTGGGCACTGTCCCTGGGCCTCTTTGTGCTCAAGGCTGGTGCTCTACCACTTGAGCCACAGCACCACTTCCCGCTTTTTGCTGCTTCATTAGAGAGAAGAGTCTCATGGACTTTCTTGCCCGAGCTGGCTTTGAACCATGATGCTCAGATCTCAGCCTCCTGAGTAACTGGGATGACAGGCGTCAGCCACCGGCGCCCAGCAAGCATGTCTAGTTGTCATGGTATTTTTTGGGGTGTATGGGGAGGTTAATTAATTAATTAGTTTGTTTATTTTTGTTGGTTGTGGGGCTTGAACTCTGGGCCTGGGCGCTGTCCCTCAGCTCTTCAGCTCAAGGCTAGCGCTCTACCACTTGAGCCACAGTGCTACTTATTGGAGATAAGAGTTTCAGGGACTTGACTTCTCAGGCTGGCTTCAAACCCTGATCCTCAGATCTCAGCCTCCCGAGTAGCTGGGATGACAGGTGTGAGCCACCGGCTCGCTTAGCTGTTACCATATGCTGCTGGCTTCCTCCTGCTCCTTCCTTCCTTTTAACTACAGTGTCCATAGCCCCTTGGTGTCCATGCAGTGTCCGGCTGTCCTAGAGCCTCCTCTCCATGTCCCCGTGGCCCAGCCTGGACTATTTTGGGCCCAGTGACCAGCAGCAGATCATTCGGATCACCCTGTGTGCCTTAGCAAAGGACAAGGCTTGGCGGGCTGCCCCCTCGTCCTGGGGGCCAGCTCGTCCATGCCCTCCAGGCCCCAGCCAGCCCCAGCGGTGTCCCCCACAGTCCTCCGCTCTCCCCACACCTCCTGGCTACAGCCTCTGAGGGGCAGATGGGAAACACATGGGTTTTGCAGACCACACACAATCTGCTGTGAATAGCGCCACACAAATCACACGCACATAAGTGGGCAGAGCTGTGTGCCAATAAAACTTTATTTATAGGTGCTGATGTGAGTACCATAGATGGTGTGTGCTGGAAAAATAGAATTTATAGACTTTATCTTCTTGGTTTTTTTTTTTTTCCTCGCTGATTTTTTTTTTTTTGGTCGGTCGTGGGGCTTGAACTCTGGGCCTGGGTTCTATCCCACTGCTCTTCAGCTCAAGGTCTACCACTTGAGCCACAGTACCACTTCCAGTTTTCTGGTGGTTTATTGGAGATTAGAGTCTCACAGAGTTTCCTGCCTGGGCTGGCTTTGAACTGTGATCCTCAGATCTCAGCCTCCTGAGTAGCTAGGATGACAGACGTGAGCCACCGGCACCCGACCTTGCTGATTATTGTTAAATGTACAGTGAGTTAGCTCAGTGGTGAACGTGTGCTCAGCAGGCAAAGGACTTGGTTTTCAGCTCTAGAAAATAAGCCAATAAATAAACACTAAGAAGGTACGAAACATTGCCACTCCAGGCACTGGTGGCTCACACTCATAATGTTGGCTATTCGGGAGGCTGAGATCTGAGGATTGTGGTTCAAAGTCAGCCTGAGCAGGAAAGTCTGTGAGACGCTTATCTCCAATGAACCAGCAAAAGACTGGAAGTGGTGCTGTGGGCAAGTGGTAGAGTGCTAGCTTTGAGCAAAAAGGCTCAGGGACAGTGCACAGGCTCTGAGTTCAAGCCCCATGATACACCACACACACACACACACACACACACACACACACACAGCAAGGAAGCCTGGCCCCTCCCCAGCCTGACCCCGGTGAGCAAGTCCTCTTCTTATCTCCAGATGCACCTGTTCCAAATGCTTTCTGTCCATGGAACCACCTGTTGTGAGACTTTTTTTTTCTCAGTGGTAGGGTTTGAACTCAGGGCCTGAGCACTGTCCTTGAGCTTTTTCGCTCATGGTTAGCACTCTACCACTTCAAGCCACAGCACCACTTCCGGTTTTCTGGTGGTTGATTGGAGATAAGAGTCTCATGGACTTTCCTGCCCCAGCTGGCTTTGAACTGTGATCCTCAGATCTCAGCCTCCTGAGTAGTTAGGATTGCAGGCGTGAGCCACTGGTGCCCGGCTCTGCCAGGCCTTTTGTGTCTGTTTCTCTCATTGAGCCTGGTGGCCTGAGGGTCCCTCCACGTTATACCACTGAGCACGGCCTTGTTCTGTTCCTGGCTGGGTAATATTCCAGTGTGTGGATTACCACTCTCTCTGTGTGTGTCTGTCTTTACATGATGGACACTGTGCTGTTCCCACCATTTGGATACTATGAATGCTTTGGCACATGTTTGTGTTTGAGACTATGTATTTTCACTTTTCTGTGTGTGTGCCGGCACCCGAACTTGAACTCAAGGCTTCACGTTTTCTCGCTTGGGGTTTTTGCTCAAGTCTAGTGCTCTACCACTTGAGCCACAGCTCCACTTCTGGCTTTTTGGTAGTAAATTGGAGACCAGAGCCTCACAGACTTTCTTGACCAGGCTGGGTTTGAACCGCAGTCCTCAGATCTCAGTAGCTGGAATTATGGACATGAGCCCCCAGTGCCTGTTTTGGGTCTATGTGAAGGAGTGGAATTGCTAGGTCCTGTGGTAATTCCCCCATCATTTCCATGTATGAATCACCTTGGACGGACTCAAGTGGGTGGTAGGCTTTTTCTGGGCTGGGGCTGGGAGAGGTCGGCAGCAGAGGTGGTGAGTTTGGGGTGTCTGCAATTCCACGGGTGGCCATGAGATGTCGCTGTGGGCTCAATCCCCTGTCAGTGCAAGCCGGGGGTCTCCACCCCAGGCGAAAACAATGAGAGTCCTGGGTTCGAAGCGTAGCTCCACCCAACTATGCTGGCTGCCAGGACGGCTCAGGGAGGCCAAACATCATCCGATATCAACAGCATTAGTCCCAAAAGGACTAGGACAGGATGGAAGAACATTCAGTGCTGACACCCTGGCTGTGGGTGAGAAGCCCATGGGAAGCTTGCCATTTGGGGAAACTGAGGCTCCAGGGGATCCCTGTGTGCTCAGGGATTTTGGTGGTATCTTCAGATCCTTTTTTTTGGGGGGGTTATGTAGCTTGAACTCAGGGCCTGGGCACTGTCCCTGAGCTCTTTTGCTCAGGCTGGTGCTCTACCACTTGATCCATAGCTCCACTTCTGGCTTTTGGGTGGTTCATTGGAGATTAGAGTCTCATAGACTTTCCTGCCCAGTCTGGTTTCAAACCACCATCCTCAGATCTCAACTTGCGAGTAGCCGGGATTACAGGCATGAGCACCAGCACCCGGCTTCCAGAGCCATGTTACGAAGCTGGGAGAGGCTTCAGAGGCCCCTTGAACAGAACAGGCCGGGCCATGAGGGTTATAAAAATAGGACCGATTTAATACTGAGGAGTGGTGTAGCGCAGAGGTGTGCTGGGGCTGGACCCCGGGGCCCTGCGGTGCCGGGGTGAGTGGGCATTCCCCCGCCCCATTCTCTGTACAGACTTCCCCAAAGGGAAAATGGTCACAGCACGTGGCCTGGCTGCCGCAGGCCTGGCCAGTCTGTGGCTGGAATCATGGGTGGCAGGGTCGGCCACAGCTAGGAGCAGTTGAGGAGGGAGTTCTGAATTTCTTCCAGGACTTGAAGGAAGAGATCTCCTGGGGATTTCATGCCATCCAAGTGGACTGGAATTAGAAAAACCAGAGTCAGGGCTTTTCTAAGAAGGCAGACTGCTGGGTCAGGAAACAGGATGGAAGAGTCTCTGGGACCAGCAGCAAGAAGGACTAGGGTGAGATTCAAGGAGGGACTTCCACGTTTCTCAAATGGAGAATGGAGAGGAGCATGGGCAGAGACTGAGCTCAGAGCATCCCTTTCCTTCCACTCTGGGGCATAGCCTCATCTGGGTCAAAGGCTTTCTTTTTGTCAGTCATGGGGCTTGAACTCGGGGTTTGAATGCTCTTCAGCTCGAGGCTAGCACCCTACTACTTGAGCCACAGCGCCACTTCCAGCTTTTTCTGCTTATGTGGCTCTGAGGAATCGAACCCAGGGCTTCATGCATGCAAGGCAAGCACTCTACCACTGAGCCACCTTCCCAGCCCTGGGTTAAAGACTTCTTACCCACTTCCACGCCGTCAGCCTCCATCTCCCGCTTGTATTTCTGGTACATGGGCCACACGTGTCCATCAAAAAGGCCTGGGGGGTCGGGGATTGGGTACTTGCGGGTACTGCAGAGGGGGCCGGGCAACAGGGAACAAGTTGTGTGTGGGGGTGTCTGTGTGTGGACTGTTTTGGAGGGTTGTGGGGCTTGAACTCTCAGGGCTTGGGCGCTGTCCGTGAGCTTCTTGAGCTCAAGGTGAGCGCTCTACTTTTTTTTTTTTTTTTT